CGTGTGAAATCAGCTGACTGGATGCACAAGATTCGCTGTATTCAAAGTGTATTCATAGTCTAATGGCAGTTGTTTTCAGTTGGTAGATTCATATACAGAACAAATAAAATGTGCAAACATGATGGAACACTGCTGCCGGATGTAGATTTTTTTAAATTCCCCCTTTTGTTCGTTCAGACGCTACATCATATCCCCTATAATTTACACGTGAATTGACTATTTCCTAGTCAATACATATATATCGAAGAGTTTTGTAAAGTTGAAAATCCGAATGGTTAAAGTAAATGAGGACCCATTTGTCTGATATCTGACCAGAATACAGAATTTGTTCATAGATAGCTATAGTTATATATCAGACTAGTATGATCGATTTCAACCTGCCACGGGAATTTGATAGCGATGACAAATCGATCTGTAATACTTCCCAGGTTTTCCATTATCACATGAATAACTAATTATATTGAACCAATATTCCAACATGTGTTCTTGTTACCGAAACCCTGAATTAATGATGAGCAGGTGGAAACAATGTCACTCAACTCTACAAAGCTAAAAAAAAGTCATAAATAACAAATTTCGTCCTCTCTTAATGGACTAATACACACTCCTAGTACAAAATACCAACCTTCTAAGTACAGGAAAATGGGCGTAAATGTATAATTAGAATCTGTCTATACAAACATATATAAACATCTCAGTATCGATCAGATCCCTACCAAAGTACATAATCGACAGCTACTTATCTACCATCACTCAGGTTGTTTGAACTACATACTCATTAGCCGTGAGGTATTGATTCTAGATAGTTACGGACAATTCTCACCGATTTCATCTTACCTTACGTCGTAGAAAAGATATCCCGATATTTTGTTGAAGATATTATCTTATAGCCTTTATTAGATAAACGACCTGTGCTAATTGTTGGACACATCGACCAGATTAATGGCGCTGTAATGTCATACGTCTAGATATGTCTACAACTGTACATTGTGTATTATGTACCCTGTTATTTGCCAGAGGTAGCGATCGATTTTACCTGTGGTAATGGGTAGTAAACAAACCGGGTATTGGGTGTTTGTCTATAGGTCTTTGTTAAAGTCAGCCTATATAGCATTTATTTCAATATTGTACAAATACAGGCACCACGGTATAATGCATCAGCTTAAACACTCCTGTCAGGTTTCCAAGAGTAAAAATCGTTAGTGTGAAATGAAAACGTGGAAACAAACATTTGAATCAAATCGTTGTGTTTAGAACACACTATCTAAGTTAGATGGAAAGATATTGATCGAATAGCCACTATATCGTTTGATGCATTTACAATTTGACACATGATAAATGATAGCATATTGAGACATGTTTGTTTATCGTGACAGAAGGCTAATATTTGATAAAATAAAATTTCACCATGGCCTCGAACTGAAGGACAAAATCAAGTGCAATGATACCTGCCGAATAGAGAGAACAAAACCTGTTTTAATACTGAAGTCTTCTTTAGAAAATATACAGGTTTTTATAAGGTAGTTATAGAAATGTGGTCTCAGACGCAGGGCTAACTGTATTGTATCACACAAAAACGGTCCCTCACACGTTGCGTCATTAACGACGTATCAGTATTGCATTGTTAAACTTACGATATTATTTTAGAAAACGAAAAAAAGGATCATGCTTTAGAAATTTACTTAATATTCTTGATGCCTAATAATCTATATTTAGATAAAGTTAAATAAGGATGCCAGCTGATTGTTTTAGAAGTTTTAAGCAGTTTTAAAATTCATAAAAACCATATGCAATATATGCTGATGCTGATTTATTTTTACTCTATCTTGATAACATATAAGGGGCCACGGTAGCCAAGTGGTTAAGGCCTCTGACATTCTGCTACCACTATCCCTCCATCACTAGGTCACGGTGGCCAAGTGGTTAAGGCCTCTGACATTCTGCTACCACTAGCCCTCCACCACTGGGTCGCGGTGGCCAAGTGGTTAAGGCATCTGCCATTCTGCTACCACTAGCCCTCCACCGCTGGGTCGCGGTGGCCAAGTGGTTAAGGCCTCTGACATTCTGCTACCACAAGCCCTCCATCACTGGTTCACGGTGGCCAAGTGGTTAAGGCGTCTGACATTCTGCTACCACTAGCCTCCATCACTGGGTCGCGGTGGCCAAGTGGTTAAGGCGTCTGACATTCTGCTACACAAGCCCTCCATCACTGGGTCGCGGTGGCCAAATGGTTAAGGCGTCTGACATTCTGCTACCACAAGCCTCCATCATTGGGTCGCGGTGGCCAAGTGGTTAAGGCGTCTGACATTCTGCTACCACAAGCCCTCCATCACTGGGTCGCGGGCTCGAGACCTGCATGGAGCAGTCGCCAGGTACTGGCCGTATGTCGGTGGTTTTTCTCTGGGAACTCCGGCTTTCCTTCAGCACCAAAACCTGGCACGTCTTTAAATGACCTTAGCTGTTAATCGGACGTAAAACACAAACAAACCGAACCAAATGATACAGTATCGGCTGAACCAGGGTCATTCGATTTCTAAATGTACACATCTACTACATGCACTTTGACACTGTAGAAATGACCTCACACTTTGTCTTTCTACTGTTGAGATAAGTTAAAGGTAGAGCACTATTTTGATTCAAGCGCTGACAGATTAGAGTTACAGTCTAATTTCCGTCTATGGAGAAAAGTCACATTCATTGGCACGAAATAACAATTATATGAAAATACGATGTTTAAAACTTATATAACATAGATATATAAGTGCGGTTTATGAACTAAGACAAGTCTAGTTTTGTCATGCGCTCTACTGGTTTCTATATATATATATATGCAAGTAATAATACGAGCGCTGATTGGTCAGTCCAGTCACGTGAGTGGTCAAGCAAGTGTACGAGCGCTGATTGGTCAGTCTGGTCACGTGAGTGGTCACAGTTTTCAGCAACTTTCAGCATCTCGGAGTTTATTTTTGCGCCAACAAAATTTGCTATTCCGACACGACCATTGCAGGTGATGCCTGGGGTTATATCCGCTGTTAGACTAAATTTGATCAAGGGGTAACTTACCTTATTGATACATTCTTAACTTCTAGACTATACATATACGTACAGGGCATTTTACATCATTATGTAATTCGTAAGGGCATTTTACATCATTTTCTAATTCGTAAGTCCCCCATGAGTCTTTTGTTCATAAATTACAATTATATCAACATACGATGTGAACAATTACATCAAAATAGCACGAGGATCCATTAAAATATCAGAATAGCACGAGGATCCATTAAAATATCAAAATAGCACGAGGATCCATTAAAATATCAAAATAATACAGGGATCCATTAAAATATCAAAATAGCACGAAGAAACATTACAATATCAAAATAGCACGAGGATCCATTAAAATATCAAAATAGCACGAGGACCCATTAAAATATCAAAATCACAACTCCACCAGGTGTAATCAAATGTGGGCCCACATAAGAATGTATGAAACGAGTGTTTCACCATTGACAACAGGGTTGTTATGTCATAAATGAAACTACGAACATCGGTAGAACATCACGACGACATTTGAACATGAACAATATGTTGAAAGTAATCCTATCATAGAAAGACATTGTTTATTTATTTAGAGTACAACCTACGTCATTGCAATCGCTAGGGTCATATAAGACAAGTTACAACTAGGGAGATATGGATGTGAGAAAAAACCGATATATCCGAATCGTTGAAATGGGGAAGCAGATCAATTTTGGTTTCTTCAACTTCCCATTAGCAGAAGACATAGAAGAAAAGACCAGATTGTGCGAATGGGTGGTTGGTTTAGGGGAGGGCCACACATGTCGTCTCATAAGACATGTAGGTGGGATTTAGCAAGCTTACTCCACCCGAATGGGTGGTTGGTTGAGGAGAGGGCCACACATGTCGTCTCAAAAGACATGTAGGTGGGATTTAGCAAGCTTACTCCACCCGAATGGGTGGTTGGTTGAGGGGAGGGCCACATATGTCGTCTCATAAGACATGTAGGGGGGATTTAGCAAGCTCACTCCACCCGAATGGGTGGTTGGTTGAGGGGAGGGCCACATATGTCGTCTCATAAGACATGTAGGTGGGATTTAGCAAGCTTACTCCACCCGAACGGGTGGTTGGTTGAGGGGAGGGCCACATATGTCGTCTTATAAGACATGTAGGTGGGTTTTAGCAAGCTTACTCCACCCGAACCTGCAGGGGTTTGTTGATTGTACATGTATATCGATCTTAAAGTAGCCTGTCTCACCGGTATGAACTGCTGTCGTTACATATGTAGCAACATGCATATTCCAGGAGGCGTTATCGCTTCATTTTGAATACGAATGCCTGTGAATATAATTTACATAAAATTCAATCTGTATATTCAATTATCGTTCTTCGATTTTAATGTGCTCTCTTATACTGAATGTGTTTTCTTATGTTTTGGATATATAGGCGCCATCTGCTTTATCAATGTCACCTACCATGCACTTCTTTATTAATTAAAGTAATGTCAAGTACTCAAAGAGAGGACCTAGGCTAGTCTCTTAAGAAGCACAAATAATTACCATGTGTTCGATATTTCTCCTCATTTTGTAAATTCATGAAATGAGTATGCGTAAATTCGAAAAGGGTATGATAATCTGCATTGATGAGGATATTTTATAGGAAGATGTTGATTTCATCAATGGTTCACACCACATGTCTCATCTGCATCCCAGTGGTTAACTAATGAAGTGAAAAGTAATTTGAAACTAACATAGAAAGAGCATTGGAGGCAGTATATTGATCTTGATACTTCATCCAAGGATCGCCATCTAAAGAATCTATATAAATACAAACTTAGTTGTGTTAAAATAACCGACCACCTAGACAAAGACATAGAAGCTACATTTCTATATTGATTTCATCTAGGAACTGCCATGTAAAGAATGCGTATATGACTGCGACATAAGTCAGTTAACATTAAAAGTGGCCGGCCGTCGGACTAATTGTCTCGCCGAGAGCGCAGTAACCAATTGTAACAAGACACGTCATTGGATGATACGCGACTGTTGCTGCTGCTGGTACAGGTGTTATCGCGGCAGGTAGAAATTTTCCTACACAGGTGCGGGAGTCATGTATGCTGTATCTATCACCATAGGATATGTCCTTTAATAGGCCGCCATAGATAAATAATTCAATGACTTAGTGCTTCGTTTGTCGCGGAAAGCCCAGGAGTAAACTTACAAGTAGGCGTTGGTACACCGGAGCTATGCGACAGTAAGCGGTGGAGTAGGGTTGTCTAGACAAATACATTTTGTATAAAAATTTGAACAATTAACTATTTATTTGTCGGAAAAAGAAGTTAAAACTATCAATCATTCAGTGGATTCCTTTATGTCCTGAACGTGTTTACCGAGAAAAGACACTTTATATGTCATTTTGAATGGGATAAACATTTCGACGATTGGATTCTGGTTTATCACACAACACCGACATAATGAGAGGAATGGCCAGTGAAGGTCGATGGCTGGTGGTCTTCACACTTTGCTTCACCCTTACAGAACTTGTTGGTAAGTGTGATGACCTTCTGGCACTATATCACATAACAGTGTAGAAAAATCCTTTCAGATATGCGTAAAATGTATTTCTAATCACTTTTAATGCACCGTACACACAACCCAACGTAACTAGAACGAGACTGGCAATCACATATTTTTTCTTGTGAAATTGTTTCATTTTATGTTTTTTTTTACTTGAAAGAGTGGGAATACTGTGTGTGGAAATCACGATTTTACGTTATTTAAAAAGTTCGGATACATTTTTTTTAAGAAGTAGATATCTCGTGTCAACGTAAGTTGTGGATAATTTTGAAATTTATGAATTATGTTTAAAATTGATTGATTTGGATTTGTAGATTGATAGATTGATAGAGTGGGCCATTGGAACAGGTAATGTCATGTAACAACGCAGTTGGACTGAATTCTAAAACATGATTTTATGCTTGATCAATATATAATGTCATTTCTGAAGTATTAGTATTCTCTGTATTGGTCGATAGTTGACTCCAACACCGGTATATCGATGTTCACAAGTAATACTCAGCTATATACAAATGTGTGTACCCTTTGTTAATAGAAACCACCGTTTATAAAATTTTGCGTGACTATCAAAGATTGTTCCAATTATATATTGGTATTACGACATACTCTCTCTCATTGGTACACGTTGCTAATTATTCTTACACATACCCGATGAAGTTTTTTTTTCAAAGGTGCTATATATGGAAAGTTCAGAAATTCTGTATAATTGACTTGCGGAAAAAAGTCTTTTAGATAAACGTTTTGTGAAAATGATAGCACGATTTAGTAGTAGCTAAACGCTCCTTATCAAGATATGACGATAGCAAAATGTGGCATTTTGACATCAAAATACAAAATACAAGATACAAGAAACTTCAGTTTTTGTCGTAAATGTGTAACATGAAACATTAGCTCTGAAGAGCTATTTTTACAGTGGACATAAATGTAACAAAACATGAATAAAGAAAGAAACAAAAGCGCAACAAAGTTGAAATAAAAGTATACAAACATGCTCATAAAAAAGCACACACAAAAATAAGACCATATTTAACCATAATGAGATATTCATTAAAACCTAACACTATGAGCTTTATGATCTTCTCCATCTTTCTCACACTTTTCATACTAGTAAATGCCATACCAAGGGACAGAAGTTAAAAGACAAAAGAATTGTAAAACAAATCCTCTGCTTGATTAAAAATCCTCCAATTCTTTCAAAAACATTTAGTTGTCTGGAAGCTTTCAAACAGATATCGGTGATATGCATATCAAAGTTTAAAAGGGAATCAATTTGGATTCCTAGTAATTTCACCGGGTGTTTATTTTTGGCTTGATGGTTACATCATTAATACTAAAATATTTGTAATTTCAGCTGATTTCTTACCAATGCAAAGAGCCTGAAATTTATCTGGATGTGCCTTTATGTGACTATTTTGAAACCAATTTACTAAATTACAACAGTCAGACTCTAGAATATTTTCTTTAATTTTTGAGGGTCTTTGTTTGAAGGACTGACTGTATGGACTTAACATAAAAGAACATGTAATTGATAAAAAAAATGTTAACTACAGGCTTTCGGTAATTTCGAGGCGATACCATCGACACCAGTTGACTTTTTAGTATGAAGTGCTGAACAATTGTTTGAAATATGGCAAACCTCTAGCTGGTCACATTCAACACTTGTCCTTTGACTTTGGTCCACCAGCACACCTTTCAAAGAAATAGTTTCGCATAGACTGTTTTCTTATATTGGTCACTAAGTATCTTTGTTGTCCGGATGATTCCCAGTGTTGAGGTGTGTTGAATCTTTTGAATGTGTTAAAAAGAATACGTTTTCGTTATATTGCCTTCCTTAAATTTCCATTGAAAAAGGGAACATTTGCTTAATAGTCTTTACCTTTACTGGAGCATGATCGTTTATTACATATGTTAACAGTTTTTCTTGAGCCCAATAGACATCATGGGTATCATCGAAAACATATGCCGCGTGAAAAGGTATTTTGATAACATCTTCATTAAACTTGTTCTCATCAAACGTTTTTTAAACTTCTAAAGTTTATTGTGACCTTAAGAACAGGTTGTGAATTGCCTTTAAAAACCGTTGAAATCATATTGTGCCAGTCACTATGACTGCCGTTAAAAGACATTGTGTTAACACAAATTGATGATTGGTTAGAAGGACATCTACAAAAGAAAGTATTTCAAGTTCAATTTTTCATAACACAAGTTGGTGACTTTATCAGGTTTTTCATGTCAAATTCATTACAAAAACTGGATAAAATATTTTCATAATTTTGCATATTAATATTCAAGTCACCTATAAGCATAAAATGGCCATTGAGAGTACTCGCCCTGTCCAAACCAATGCTTAAATCTTCATAAACTGATTTTTGACTATTTTTAAAGGATGTTTTACAACCCTACACTAGCCCACTTTCTATACTGTTTATATTTTCACTTCAATCACTATGGACTCAACTAATTTGAACTCCAAGTCTGTCCTGTGTCTACAGAGAAGGTTTGAGTTAACAAAACACACGAGTCTTCCATTATAACTTGTTCTATCTTTTAGAAAAGGTCTGTAGCCGCTAACTTGGAATAATGATGGATTAAAAGAGTCATTGAATTTATACCGTAAATTATTTATGTTAATGTAGGATAAAATGAATTTTTTTTTGCATGTTAACCTCTCATGTCATACAATTCTTAAAAGAAGTTTTCATTTGTGTCCATGTTTTCTTCGCCATTACTGTTTACATTATCACCGGAAGTGAAGTTTACTGAAGGAAGGTCACTCTCAGTCGGCATCCGTTCCGAAGAAATGTTTATTGAATTTGACGTATCCAGATTTAAAAAGGAATAAGAAATTTTAGGAAGGGTACATTTCACACAATACCAATCCGTCAAGGTAGATTTGGCTAGATTCATATATTCAACCACAGACATATCAATACATTTGCGGTGAAAACATTAAAAACAGTCAGTACAATAAATCCTATTATGGTTGTTTCTTACTGGGTTCTCTACCACAGGGACATTTAACTGGGCCTGGGTTTGGTAAAGCATAGTCAGAAAGAATAAGTGTACACATGAGAATGGATTTAGACCCTCTAGAAAAGTCTGTTTTTGGTAAACAAAGGACTGTGATGTACGATGTACGTTTCCTAGGTGAGTAGTGTTCACCGTAAATTTACAAAGTAGAATTTTCACGTCATCGTATTTTGTTTACTCCCAGTTTTTGCTTAGTACGTATTCATAAACAGAGGTCCTACCTATCTGCTTCAGCTAGACTATAGTGTACTGACAAAATCATCATTAAAGCCCTATACATATAATATTTATACACTGAAAAAGGAAAATTTCTGTAAGGTCACATGGGATATTACCTTTGGGTATAGTTCGATTTTCTTTTTGATTTCTTTTCTGAATGTTTTTTCATCTATTAAGACAGTTATTAGGTAAGTTACCAGTGGGAACAATCAAATGAACATAAATTACTGAAGACCGTCACAACTTTAGAAGGTGGCAAACTTTCTGTATTTTAATACGATTTGCTGTGTATGTCTTTGTGTAGTAAAAGCATGATTATTGGAAAGCTCGTGTATGGGCCTTAGTGTACAGTGCTAAGATTAATCATATTGTTTACTACAATAAAACCACCAATTAATTGATAGTTTATGCAGTCGTTACCCAGAGTTATATAGGTTTAATGTGAGGAGGTGGTCGATATTGTCCTCAAAAGTCAATGTTTCGTTTCCTTTTATGGGGAATCGACATCCGCTGACGTTGTAAGTCCTTCTGTCGATGTGACTTTATCATCATCTTACACGTTACATGGGATATTACCTTTGGGTTATAGTTCGAACGCTTTCCTAGCATATGATTCCTTTTTTTATATTTTCTTTCACATTCTTGTTTCAATGCCGTTAGTTAGGTAAATAATTGATGGATACCCTTGGAAATCAGTGTATGACTATGTTCCCAGACACGCTGTACAATCTTGTTATTATCTATATTCTATGAAACGGCACATGGGCTACTTCGTACCGTACCATATACAATCCTGTTTGTATAAAATATCTAATGGTCTCTGATAATCACGTGTGAATGTCCTTTCCTTTTTCATTCATTGATGATGTTAATTAAAGTAATTTTTCTTTTGTTACTTGTTGACCGTCTTAATGATATATGTCAGCAAACGCGCAAATTACGGATCATTGCTGTTTGGGGATGTCATGCTTTTTTTTTACCATCCACGGTTCATGTTGTGACATTTCATGTCGACTTTGAACCATAATTTGTCTTTTTATTGTCGTCGAAACGTCTTTTCTGTATATTTCAAATGCAGAACCTAACCATTTTTGTCATAAGTAAGGTGGCTCGTTGTTTCCATTTTCTCTCTTGTTCTAACATATGTTCGTGTACACAAAAGTGTAACGCTTTTATCGTTTTGACATTGTATTACATGTTTATATTATCTAACATACAATGATGTTACAAACATAGAGACGCAGACAATGAGTGCGTCGTATGTTATACTTACATTAATTGTTTACATTACTTAACATTCGATAACATTACAAATATAGAGACGCGAACAGCGCGTGCGAACACGTTATGAATACGTTATTGTTTACATGATTTAAAATGTAATAATGTTCATATGCATCAAGTAGTGGACAATCTGTGTATCTTACATTATGTATACCTTAATTGTTTATATCAAGTAACACACATTATTGTTTTAATTGTTTGTATTATTAAACAAACAATAATGTTACAAACATTGAGACACAGATAATGTGTGCGTCACACGTTATGTGTGCTTTTACTTTTCTCATTATATTACGACTTCACTATATTCCCTTAATCAATGCATTTTTGATACATTTACGGAGTTGGCGAGGTATGACACACAAAGACAGATATTTCAATTAAGAATGTTGTGCAACTGAACAAAACCCTGACCTACGTATTTCATACATGCCGTTTGTGCAATAGTGATTTATTTGCAAAATCAATTTCGTTTATGTTATTCATTGATTTCTTCCCCCGTCAAAGACCGATAGACTATTTATTAAACCCTAATCATCTCGATCAGACAGCCCCAATGTTTACAATAGAAAGCGGGAATTGTATCTAGTGACATTTCTAAATGAAATAATAATGACTTTCACAGCTACCGTATTTTTAGGAATAACGATTCCATCCACCTTTATATTGTCCAGTGTTACGTAACGTCTGAACAAAATGGATAATTGGAAACATTTCATCCACTTAGCGAATCAATAGTTTTTATTTTAAAGGTCACATTTGATAACAATCAATGACTTTTGCAACAAGAAATGCAGCAAACGTATAACGTTGCAGAACTCATATCTCCATCTCAATTCTGTTGTCACCTTGATTTCTATTGTTCTCTCCTGTCCCTATTTGATGGTTGATGCTTTATGTCTACTTAACAGTCGTACGTTTAACGATTTGATGAACTCATTGACAACGGCACTCCCTATGTCAGTAATTAACTGTTTATCACAAATCATCTGGGATGTTCCGATTCTGCCTCAAGCAAATACATTTTCGATGTTTAGAATAATTTGTGAAATCAGCCGCCTTCATATTCTAGGCGTATTTAATTGGACCTAGAAAGTTAAGACATTCACTACTGTAAACCTTTGCAGGCGTAATCTAAAACCGTACACTATATTATAAAATTACCAATATAATTTAGACTGAAGTTAAATACAGTGTGTGAGTTTCCCTTCCGATGACCAAGCTTTTCGGTGATTTAACAGATGCATATCAGCCTATAATATCTAGAGGAAGTAACTTGTCTCTAGTGTCAAATCAATATCAACCCAAAGGTAAGGCATTAAAGAATATCATTTTACAGGCTGGATATAAGGAGTTGTCTTCGCTCGACCAAACCATCCCAGAATATATCGACTTGCGAGAAATGAGCGTTAAAGGGCATTGATCACTTTATTAAGACTTGATGTATTTTCTGTAACCTCCACCATTGTCTCATATTCATTGTACTGACGTAACATAGTATACAGTGTCGTTTCTGTGTTATCAGTGGAGAGCTATAGATGTAAGGCTCCATCATTATCGACACGACTTTATTATACGCCGAACCCATTTTTAAAGGAAATGGTTTTTGGAAGACAGCTGATTATTTTTATGTAATGTAATTGTTTTTTGTTGTTTTTCTTTGTCGCGATAAAGGAGTGGATTGTTCCGAAAATTTGACAACATCATATTGTCTACACTGTAGGAATGACTTACTTGCCCCATGTAACATTCTAAGTAATTCTTATCATACAATGTACATACGTTTGCAAGGATCCAGCGTTATTCGGGAAGCTTCCGTAAATACTACTTCTCTGACCCATATGTATAATTATCAGAGCGTACATGATCACATGAGTTTATTCCGATCTCTTCCTTTGAGAGAGTTTCATCCTCGTTTAACGTTGTGTTTTGAAGCGGTATGACTAGCTTCAAATCAATTGTGACACTGTAGCGTTTTATTGGATCGAAACATAGCTTTAACAATGTACTGTTCCGAGTTCAAAAACTCCCACCCCCTACGCCATAAACAGGAAAAATCTAAATTCAACAATTATCAATGAAAAAACATGTATTATAATTTGTTAAACGTAAGTTGTGAATATATTGATTTCTATTTAAGATATTTTTGTAATGATTCACATTGGTGTTGTTTTAAGCTGGACTGTACAATTTTACCGTATTTGAGACCAAACTGCCCCACGAACATCTGGCCTACAACTGTTCAAGTATCGGCCTAGAGCTCGCTAAGGTCGACAGCCAGGAGAAGTGGGACCAGGCCCATGACATCCTCACAAATTACCAGAGGTGAGATATCAGTTGTTTGGGATCAGGGATAGGAGGATACTAAACTTGACAATACTTACATCAACTATGATATGTTAAAATGTGACAGTTTGTATTATTTCTCTAACATTGTCTTTTGTACATATATCAGCTATTACCTGTTATAGTGCTGTAGTATCCATGTCCTTCCATTCTAATTTGTTTACACAATGGATTCTATGCATCACTAGCTTGTCATATGAACAACACCAAACGTATACATACATGTTTCCAATATACGTATGCCTGGGATAACGACTTGCAAATGGCAAAGCTATTTAGAAATACTTAAAAAAAGGTATTTTTACTCCCACCAGTCACTTACGTGTCTCCGTTACACTTGTTCGGTACTCCTCCGTCTCCTCCCCTAGGGTATGACAAATAAAACGTGAATCAGATAGTAAATACCTTAATGAATGTCTCGAAACAGAACCGTGGGATAATGATTACTACTAGTAGATTTCAACGTTATACAAAAAACGCATTTTCAATTCAACGTACATAAAGCATTTCCTATTTTACACACACAGGCGAATGCCAGAAAAAGACATTTATATCGGCCTCTATTACAACGCATCACTGGAGAAGTTTTTCTGGGAAGATGGGGAGGAAATGACGTGGACGAAGTGGTATTACAACGAGCCATTCAATGCCGCGCTTAGACCGTGTGTTGTCCTGGCAATCGACGGCTATCTTCAGTTCCGAACGGTTGACTGTCAGTATGAACTCTTCTATGCTTGCAGCAAGGAAAGTAAGTAGGTGCTAATAAAAGGTCAATTTCAACTATAAATTATCATATGTGATCTGAATGTTCGATTCTAGCTATCCCTTTCCTATTCAAGCAGAAAATAAAATAAGATGAAAGGCGTTCCGAATGATTTATTCGCACCCCTCATTATAAAATCTTTTATGAAGCAACGAGGAGATGGTTTCCATTAGTCAAACGTCAGTAAGTAGTGTTGATCTGTTTTAGTTTAAATTATTTATAAAAGTTCAATTTATGAATGGGTAGCGCTTAGCTACCATGACGCACAGAACGGATTGTTGAGACAGAAAAAAATAGAACGACACGAGATTTACCGAGCGTCTTTTACAATTTGAAAAAATCGAGAGTTAGATAAACATAATAATCAACCAACACGAGTTTTGGAACCTATTTCTCCAACAATGTTCAGAGATTATCACTTGAAGTCATCAATGGAAATTTGACCAACGTGATCACTTTCAGGGTGTTGCCCACTAGTTGGTAAACAATAATTTTAACCAACTGAGGTCGAGGAAATATAAAATGGTTGTTGGAGTGAGGAAACCTTAAGTGGTTGTGGGGAAAATCAGATAGTTATTATTTGTTTAAGTTGCCCATTGCGTGTTTCGAGATGATGACCCTGCTGATAAGCTATACGCCGCCACATATTGATTAGATTGTATATATCAATAACCCAATGTAAATCTACATCAATCTTTAGTGCTGCTTACTGGTGTTCATTTTTACTCGTAATTCCGACAAATAGAAAGTCCCCGGGTGTCACAAATGGTTTGTCAATATCATATAATGGATCATTGCTAAGCAACGTCTTCAAAGGTCTCATTGTAATTCAACCAATTCTACAATTTGATCGATCTGTTTACCATACAAGAAAGCGATACTGATAATGATCTTGAAAATCGATTACAGCTTCCGGAATAGCATTACTATGTATGACAATCGATCATTTCAAATATGCGCCCTGGTTATTTCCTCGCTACGATGAATAGTGTAAAAAAAACCTTCAAATAATGTCATTAGAAAATAAGATTGATCATTTTTTAGTCAGGTTGTTCGAGACTATATTGTGCAGTTTACGTCTGTTATCTTACCTGTATTTTCCTGTAATTTACTTCGGATATAATCCCTTTTGTTAGTTTTAATGGTTCTAACGACTTTATCGCGTGTGACGTCATATTGCCACGACTTACATAAGGTGACGAATGAGCAAAGATACTATGGAAAGAAACCAAAATGGAGACAGTAGAAGATAGAAATCTGACATACAGTCATCAAAACACAGTCGCAAACATCAAATTAATCTCACCCTATTATCACATGCACTGAGGTGTTTCGGCATTATGACTTACATTCTGTGTTCCTGGACCCATCGACGAAAATTACCTTCACTTTTGCATAACACATTTGACTTCATCGCATTGCGTATTGATACTATGTCCGGCCGCATTATGTGGTATAGGCGTAGTTTGTTCACCGTCCGCCATAAAGCCGTCCTTAGTGTATTGTTATAATGTTAACTAAATAAATAAATATTAAACATTTGTGCATTCATGTTCAAGCTAAAAGAAGGTGTTTAAAAACAAATTAATGGTATAAATTAGTGTAGTATTCTAAAAATCTAATTTTAAAAATGTATCTACATTGGTTTGTTGTCATTCTGGACCTCCATTAGAAGTTTCATATTTTCCCGCGAAAATATGTTGTTCCCTCTTCTGCGTTGCCCCCTCGCACCCATTTATAAAACTTGCTGTATTTTGTGTTATTCGTAGTAGCATCGATAATGTTTAAGCAATTAAAAATGTAAATATAAGGAAAGGCCCCCGAATACAATTTATTTTTTCAATATTTTTGTGGTCACAATGTTACTTGACTTCCCACGCATTCAAAATTGTTATGACCTCATATATGGTGCAAAAATATATAGTTGAAGTAATAATCGTAAGATATAATGATATCGTAGTTCCGTTGTGCGATATAGTTCTCACAACCACCCTTTACAAAAGGGAAAAAACAAATTTCCATGGAACAATCTAAAAGAGGCACAACGAGGGTTCTTTGTCAATATCGCGTATAACAAATCAGATAATAAATATGAACAGTGAAATGTATCTTAAGAACTTAAACGATCGGTTGCATCCGATTTTTACAGCCCGATCATTTCTGAATATCCAGTGTATGTAGGTAGAGTATATGTTATATGTTCATATTGATATGTTTACAGAAGGTTTTGGGATGGTTTTTGCCATCTTTTTATTATTCATTTTACTGGCCTACTTTGATCTTTGATTATAATTTTAGCTCATGTTTCCTTCAGAAGAAAATGTTTGTGGGGAACGTCTAATAATACATAAGAAAGTCCTCGCTTAATCAGCATAATTGATCGACGTTCTGCAGTAATCAAATATTTAACATAAACAATGTTATTGACACGTTTTTATACAAGATGTAAACCTTATATTGGACATTTTGTTTACAATATTTGTAGAAATTAGAATCTCCGATATACAAAAAGCGTGATGTTAACCGAGTCTTGGGTCGTCGATGACTAACATGTTTGCCTAGAACTAGCAGGCGATATAACAATGGTAGCACAATTCAAACATGGAACGATAATCTTCCCTGAAAAAAATATTTGTTTCTTCATTTTGCGGGAATTCAAGACACCCTTCCATTCGTTTTTCAGTCCTCTGGGTTTTTGGTGCTGTCTTTTTGTGTCAAACGTTTGTTCTGAGTTTGTCCTTGTTACACGGTGCGCTACTTATTATTTTTATAGATTTACCGTTTAACTTTTGATATGATTTCAGTCATACCAACGACGACGCCTGCTCCGCCGACGGTATGTACATACTTAGATATAATTACCTTAGTTGGTGTAAAGATGAAAAATCTGAAACGCAATAACATTTGCCAAAAGAGATCACACGGGGTTAAAGCATAGCATAAGATAGAAAGAAACATTTATGCGTGCCAATAGTTATACTTGTGTGTCAACGAAACTACATATCAGCGGTGGTGTAAACCTATATTGTTTTGCAATTTCAGAATATTAATTGCTTTATAATGGTATCCATACAGATATGCGTTTTAATGCTTTAAAGGTTATTGTGAAATAACAAATAATGCAGTCATCACATGTGTCATGTTATGTATTTTTGTTTTGTAGACCCAAAAAATGGTAAGTATAAATCTATTGTTTTAAAATCGACCGAACGTATAACTTTTTTTTACTGTCAACACCATATAAACCTCTGTTGCTTGCTCTATGACAACATTATTTGAACTAGGTTGCGAAAATGCCTTTATCAGTCAACACAATATGCATTTAAAGATGAAATTATGTTACAATGATTACAATATAGATAGTCTTTGTTTACAATGTACTCAATAATTTAACTAGTTTTTAATTAAAGTGGCATATAGCAAGAAATCAGTTATTTGTGTAAAATGTGCTGACTAAAATTATTTTTCAAAAATGTTTTCAATACATTTTGAAACACGTGTACCTACACATACTCCTCATTAAACAAGTGTATCTACACATACTTCTCATTAAACACGTGTACCTACACATACTCCTCATTAAATACGTGTACCTATAAATACTCCTCATTTAACACGTGTACCTACACATACTCCTCATTAAACACGTGTACCTACACATACTCCTCATTAAACAAGTGTATCTACACATACTTCTCATTAAACACGTGTACCTACACATACTCCTCATTAAACACGTGTACCTATAAATACTCCTCATTTAACACCTGTACCTACACATACTCCTCATTAAAAACGTGTACCTACACATTCTCCTCATTAAACACGTGTACCTACACATTCTCCTCATTAAACACGTGTACCTACACATTCTCCTCATTACACACGTGTGCATACTCCTCATTAAATACGTGTACCTACACATTCTCCTCATTAAACACGTGTACCTACACATTCTCCTCATTAAACACGTGTACCTACACATACTCCTCATTAAACACATGTACCTACATATACTCCTCATTAAACACGTGTACCTACACATTCTCCTCATTACACACGTGTACCTTCACATCCTCCTCATTAAACACGTGTACCTTCACATACTCCTCACTAAACACGTGTACCTACACATACTCCTCATTGATATATTTATGTGTAGCGCGGATGTCATGTTATTTTATTTTCGTGAGCTCTGAGACTACTACATCCTCATTGATATTAGTCAGAATTCATTATAACGGAAATTGAAACAATAAAACATAATCAGCTTTTAATCAGCATACATTATCACACTGCCTCAACGTTCATGTCTACAGTACATGCGCACCTTCACCGCTAAAAATTCGTTCACGCATAGTGTAAGTTTCTTCGTACACCCGTTCGGGTTCGGGAAAAGAATACGTATGCTATATCCCACTGCATGATCGTAAGAGGCGACTAATTTTGAGTCCCCTGCAGAATCGGAGTTGGTTTCTTCTTTGTCTTCTGTTTAGGAATCAATGAAGAAACTAAGAAAATACCTATTGTATCCAACTGCATGTGCACCGTAATAGGCGAATGCTATTTGGCCAACGGTGTTTCCTTCTGTGTCTATGATATAGACCATAATTGATGTGCTGTCCCCATCGCTACACTAATCCGTTTTCTTTATATCCTGTCTTAGTTCTTTTATACCTACTTTCTCTTCCCGGTGGAATCTTCCTATGCGCCTGTCCACGTGTTACCCTGGTATAACATATGTTGCCAACTGTTTATTACTAATACACATATTGAATTTTCATTGCGTCAAAGGTATTAAAATCAAAAATAATATTTTGACATGGATGCCTTGCAGATAGTTTAGATGGAAACACTTTGGCCATTGTGATAAATTTGCAGTTGGATTGAAAGGCGAAAAGGGTGAAAGTTTAACCGCGGCGAACATTTCCGGAGAACAATCCCGTTTAACACCATACCAGTATTGGATAGATAGCTAGTCAATAGCTGTAAATGGCTATCCTGTGTTTGTTGATATAACGTGTGTCCTAGTTTACACACTCTAGCACTAAGTTTTTAACATGAATCACAAATCAATGAAAACCCAGTGGATTTGAACTGGACACGTAAAAGTAGTGACATGTATGATTGATTTCGTATTATCTTTCAAAGTTCATGTCATGTCATGCGTCTCCCCACCTTGAGAGTTCTACAAAAACAAACTCTGTCTCGAATTCTTATATATACCGTATTTGACTTAATAATTGACATGAAATAAACACAGAAAGAATTTATAATTATAAGATGGTGGAGTTTTAAAGGGAGATTACTCAAATTAAATATCAAGCATCATAAAAAATGTACAAGTAGCATACATCCTTAAAAGATAGGTTGCTGGGCGTAGTTGCCTTATATATACTGAAATATAAATGAGACTTTCAGCAAATGTTACAAGAATATAGAGACTTATTTGTTGTAAATTAGTTTGTTATTCCTGAAATATGTATTAATACTTATTTATCAGGACAAAAGATTTGTTCTCAATTTTCAATTTTGCAAACATATACATGAGGAAAATATTTTTAGAAGCATAATTGCGAAAATGATGTTAATGCTATAAGCTAATTTTGATATTATGCATATACTATGATGAAGTTTTCTCCCTTTAACTTCAGTAGGAAAATCATTACTATGTAGTCATCATTTGTGTCAACAGTTACTTGATATATTTGATACATTTGATAAAATTGTTAACCTTTTGGGAAGAAGATACATGTCACCGTTATCTGGAATATCGTAGTTTCACAAGGCTTCAACTTGAATAAAATAAAACACATGAACACGTTATGTTGACAAATATTAACCAACCATTACTATTTTCACCACAGTCCGCAAGCTACATGAGACCATACGAGATGGTAACCGGTCTGACTGTTGGATTCTTCGTATTCGGGTTTATCTTGGCTCTTTGCGTCCTCATGTGTTGGTGTTGTTTCTTCTCCAATGCCAAGCTAAGGAAGAAGTTGGATCCTGTCAAGGTTTTTGGTTACAGCGTAGGTGCAGCACGTTCCAACAAGAGCGACTCATCGCTTCCCCCGCCTGTCTTCACCAAATCTAAAACGGTTGGCTACGATAACCCCATGATGAAAGGTCAGAGGTCAACAGTTGACGATTTCCCGCAAAAGTCCAGAACAGCACCCTTCATGAAGAATCGCGCGCCAGAGTTCGATGACATTCCGTCCAAACCAAACAGTGCTTCGTCATACCGATCTGGCAGCATGAACGACAGCGCACCATCGTCAAAGGATGGAAGCAGCGAGTCGTTTGGATATATGATGTAAACAAAACATTGATTCGGAAACGCAAAAAGGAAAAGTCAACTTCCAGTCAAATTATTTCCCTATTGACAACATGTGCCGGACAAAACAACCTACTGCTCACATTAACTGAAAAGTAACAATGGATAGATAAAGTAACAACACACGGATAGATAAAGTAACAACACACGGATAGATAAAGTAACAACACACGGATAGATAAAGTAACAACACACGGATAGATAACAACAAAGTGACATTTACTACGCTAGAACAGTCAAAGCATGGGAATAGTAGCAAAGAAATAGTAACGAATATATATATATAGCAACAACACAAAAAATAATATCACATGGATGGTGTTAACAAAGTGACAGTTACAACACACAAGAATAGAAACAGCAAGGGAATATTTACAACACTGGAAAAACATTGGACTCTAGGAACAAGGAAACATTACATAGGCTGTTCTATGTCTACTAAAGACGTTACATAATATGTGATACAATAACTTAAGCCAGCATGCAAACCACTTTTGCCTGTCTCGAATAACTGATATCTGATATTCTATTTTGTTTTCACCTGTTTTTCAAGACAGGCAAAACCATAGATGAATGTTAGTACTGATTATCGTTTTGTTTTCCAAAGCATTTAGATGATTGTGTCGGTAAATCATTATTGACAACAAGCCCAAACGTCCGTATTCGACTATCAGTGATGGTGGAGTCTAACTGTGTGGGAATAGTTGATCAGAATCGGGAAAATCTATCATTGTGTTTTGAAGTACTATCAATCGAGAGGACAAACAATGCATACATAGATCCTTTTAAATCAATGCCACAATTAACAGCTCAAACAAAATGTACTCGTTAAAAATTTAAAACCGTCAGAACATTGGACAACTTTCGATATTTACGAAATCGGTATCAAATGTGGAATCAACAGGAACTCATTTTCTTTGAAGTAGATCATTGCTTTATTTTATTTATATTGTCACTTAATACAACACATTTATGCTAACGTTCTGTGATACAGTAGTTGTAATTCCGTCCATTTTAGATGTACATTTTATCGTGATTATTGTTTGTTAATGAGTGTAGACCAGAGAAGTGTCGTTATAACATACATACGTACCATTATCATATGGTAGTTATAATATTGTTTTATGAAAAATGTATATACGCACTAAGCAGATTTTGCAATTCTGACGTGATCAAGAATAGTGCTTAAAATTATCATATTGCCATAGTAGTCTTATATTAGTGTTTTCATCTCTCGTTGTTCATCAGAAAAAAAATACATAAAACTGTGAAATATGTCTATAGCAATGTCTCAGTCAGTAAAACGACTCTTTAAACAGGTGGTCTCTATCAACAGTTGATCACTTTAGACAGGTAGTCACTTTTCTGTCAGTTTTACTTCTCATGTACTTAACGTTTGTCACATTTTCAAAATCACCAAAAAGTAAGGAAATATAAGTATGCATAAATCTTAGCTTGACTTTAAAATCGACCAATATACTCAACATGTTTTTCATTATTATTTCTGCTCTTAACTTACATTTTTTTAACCACAATGATGAAGTTATTCCGTTTGTTTTTATTAACTAGCTCTAAATTGATTCCCAAAAAAATGATAATGTTATTAATCTTCTACAACGAAAGCATGATAGCTGAGTATTCTTCTATGTATTTGTCATCATAGTTTATCAGCGTGTCTTATGGTATGTTTAAGTTAACTGATGTTTGTGTAGTATGACGTATACAGTATTATGCACAAAGGAAGTATGTTCTTCTTGTGCTAATAAACTTGTCCATTAAATTTGTCAAATGTAGGTTCATTCTTCGTATGAAGACGATTTTACACGCGTGTTACACGAGTGTTATCAGTGTTATCAAATAAACACAATTTTGAACTATCAAATAAATACGTTTTCAGGCATCTGCCATATTTCCAGACCACCAACAAACAATCTCTATTTAACTTACATAAAATTTTGAACCTTTGAAATAAATCAATGAAATATTATCGTAGTATGTCGATTGATATTATGTCAAAGTCAACGTAATTATCTGTAAAAGAGTATCGGTGATAATGACATTCGGCTAAATAAGATGATAAAACAACCAATCGTTTAGTGTCTTTGTGTAATAAACTCATTAAATCTTCATACAGTTTTGTTGCATATCACCTACATTGTGATATTTTTGTACATTCCGTGTCATGTTTTTGGTTTATCTGCTGAAGATATTTAATGAAAGAATCTAACATTAAAGATCCTTGTTCAATTGAACGCATTATAAAACTGATTGAGTTAGAGCAAAAAGAATCCTGATGATAAATCAAATATCTGTTACTTTTTTAACATGTAGAGTATGTCTTACTATTTTTAACGCATATGTAAGACGACAAGTTTTCCTCGCTTGTCTCCTAAGTATTATCATGGATTATAATCTATACAAATTTAGAAGACTGAAATTGTTATTGACAAGTAAACGGTTTATATGGTAAGTTACAAACTGCCTTGGACTTTAACTAGCTTTTAACTATCAAGCTGTGATAAATATTGTTTTGTTTCTGATCAATAAAATCATGTTGGTATCTTTTTACGTTGTTATAAGATAATTGAACCTCTGCGTGTGTATCTTTTTACGTTGTTCGCAGTTATTTGAACCTCTTTGTGTGTATCTCGAAAAGGATTATTTGGGGAAAACTCTTGGTTATTATCAGAAATATAGTGATCTTATGGCATTATCATTTTTTGCAATTTGACAGAAATTCCAATAATCAATAAATACAGTTTCACGCTTATAAGAAGACACATCTTTTTATCACATAATGTGTTATCCAGTGAATATACTCATGTCTTATTTTTTTGAGTATAAACCCATGTAATATGACCTATCAGCACTGTGATTGGTTGCAAGTTTCAATTGTTTCAATTGTAACGTCACGCCTAGGACAAATACATGACGTCACAGACTTACGCACTGGAGTCAAAATGGCGGCTTTTTACATTTCAAAGTTTCATGAAAATTGTTGTTTTACACGAATAAATGCCACAAATCTTGATTATGGGATAAAAAGGATCTTACACTCGTTTTTATTTCATATAAAATTTATGAAATTCATCACGGTTTTTTCATTTTAGCTCGCCAGAGGCTCGCTAAATTGAAAAATTCCCAGACTCGTTTCATAAATCTCATATGAAATGGAAAATCATGTAAGATCCTATATATATTGCAAAAAATACTATATTTATTGTTTCCTTAACGTATTTCAAAGGATGTGAAAGTTTCCTACTTATCCCACACTGCCTTTTTACTTAAAAAACACTTTCTTTTCTTGTGTTTTGGAATACAATGACTAAAGTGCATCTTCTTGCCTAACACCAAATATGTCCTTACAAAGCCAGTCTATAGTCTCTCTTGGCGTATTCAAAGCATCCAATCTCAGGCTTTTGGTCAGCCTAGCATATCATACGCACCTCTGACTACTATAAACACTCTACTGAGCCTGTTTAATATACATACCTTCATAAAGACCGGTATTAGGCAAGGAGATTCACTTTAAGTATAATATCTTTAATATCTATGCCAAGTTGCATGCTTATCCCAAAATGTCCTTTATGTACAATCAGCCCTTATTATTGGGAATAAGCAGAACAATTGATAAAACAATGAAATGGACTAACTGTAACGACTAAAACAGATACTTTCCTTGAGGCTAGGAGACTTAAACTTACCAGCAAAGCAAACTTGATATATCAAGTTAAACAGTTTACACTAGTTGTGGTGGCAAATGCCATCTCTTATTTGTAAGTTAACTTGGATTAGTGTTTGCGCATGTGATACAATAAGCTATCTTTGAACACATTAAGGAGGTGAACATCCGGATATACCGGGGCCCAAAAAGGGCCTTATAGACACTCATCCTTTCTTGTTTTACCCTGATAAAATATTTGAGTAAATAAGAGTGTTAAAATACATCAAAACATTGGTAGAATATAAATGAGACAAAACTTATAAAATTACATTCGAAACACAAAACCATTTGCTATATAAATCACCTAATTTACAAGGATATATATGATATCATTCTTGAAATCCATTATCTTACATTTTAAACTAGCTTTACACTCATTAAAAAGAAAAGACATATCTCTACGCATTGTGTATTCAAAAGAGTTATTGTTGCAATATCATATCAACACATTATACCTTGATAGCATACTTGAGTAAATTTAAATGTAGCAATACATCAAAACATTGATAGATTACAGCAGTATATAACTCCCAATCCAATACATCAAAACATTGATAGATTACAGCAGTATATAACTCCCAATCCAATACATCAAAACATTGATAGATTACAGCAGTATATAACTCTCAATCCAATACATTAAAAGATTGATAGATTACAGCAGTATATAACTCCCAATCCAATACATCAAATCATTGATAGATTACAGCAGTATATAACTCCCAATCCAATACATCAATTGCATGTGTATCGACGCAGTAACAGTTGAAATGAATACAAAATACTGATATTTCCCAATAGTTTCAAAATAACAGCACGTACTAGAGTTGGACATGTCGACTCGTTCAGGCTCCTTTGCTAATCTTATTGACATCACATTGTTATACTCGTGATGATATTAGATAAAACTTCACACATAAACTAATTGACTTTTTTCAATGAAATACATGTAGAGGTATAATTTGGTTAGTATGTTTCAGTGAGGTAGCACTATAAAGTCGGCATCAGTTCCGCGCACAAGGAGACAAACACGAACATAACGCAGCCTACCAAAACACAAACGCATACACTACACGCATACATCTTACACACTGGGGAGGCCGGCCTTAAATGACCATAGCTGTTGATAGGACGTGAAACAATACTAAACCAAACCAAACCAAACCAACCGTAAGTAAAATACATCAAAGATGATACTGTTAACTAATTGATTATTCGATACTACTAACAACAGTACACTATCATACTAAAACTGTCACAGTAGTGTTTCACAAAATGCAATAGTAAGTTTGCTGCAATAGGCACCTCATAACAAGTGAAATATATATTCATTTTGATACCAAATCACGAAAACAAAATGATTCTATTGGAATTTCTAATCACTTTTACGTATATATATCTACTCCAAGACCTTGAAAATACTGTTAAAACGAAATATTGAATGATGAACGAAAGTCACACACATGTGTTAAACGAAATATGAATTCTCATTTTGTGACTTTACGGGTATTAGAATTGATACACATAAATACTAAGTATCAAAAAAGTTTATTAAAAAGAATACTAAATACTCGCTGTCGTCAATAGATTATAAACAATAGAAAAAAAGTCGTAACTCATAGGTGACAGAAGGACAAAGTTGGAACTCACTAAAATCAGAGCTCACTGGTCACAAAAAAAACAAAGTAAAAGAAGGACAAATCGAAACTTACCGGTAACTGAAGGACTAAACTAGAGGTAAGACCCATTTTGATGGTGTAAAAGACACAATTTTTTTTTTAATTTTTTTTCCTTGTCTTCAGAATATCATTTATTGATTTTGCTTATAGATCCGTAATTTTGTAGGCTGAATATCAATAGTGTCTTCTTATTCAAGGGACAGGATATGTCGTCTTTGCCGACACTATGGGTATTTTGTCATGTTAAATTGGCAATACCTGCAAACTTCAAAACTTTTTTCACAACTGTCGTGAGTACCGAAGTGAAATATTAGTGATATTTTGAAAGCCTTAAATATCTTCTAGAACCTCCAACTCATGTATGCAAACCGTTTCTAAATACATTTTAGCTCAGTCAATGTTTAATCAAAGCAACTTTACGCATACTATACGGTTTCCTTAACTTTTTTAACCAATCAGATTTGTTGACCTATTTCCTTGTGCGATATCTGTTATCACGATTCTTGTTAAATATCACTGTCTGACAAGATTATCTGTTGATTACATCATATATCCGGAGTTTGATAAAACATATGAGTGTTATACGTTAAAATAATAAGTCGCATAAACACACTGATAAATTACATACAACAATAACTCCATACTGTCTAATAATATGATATAAACTCTCTGAAATAAACCAAATTATCATTTGTAAAGATAAACAAATAAAAATATGAATTACAAAGATTTAGTATTTTCACGAGTGATAACAAAGCGTTATTTGAGATATCCCATGTAGACAACGGGGTCCTGCTCACTAAAATTTCTAACATCTTCACATTATATTTGTCAGAGCTTATAACTTGTATCAGTTAAGGTATTTAAAATAAGTATGCTCATGGTTGATCTACCCACACGATTGCTCAGAAGCTATACAGGAAGGGATATTCAGCTCACGGTAGGGATATTCAGCTCACGGTCCTCCCAAATTGGCACAAGTTCTCCTTTTGGTCTATATAACATCAATGATGAAATGTCTTGTGGTAGATGCCCTGCCGTGGTTTGTAGCGCAACACTAGAGCGAGTAAAACCTCTAGGTGGTACTGGAGGGACATATACATACGGTATTGTAGGTACACTTACATCGTGTTGTCTAGGTGGTATTGGTGGTTTAGGTGAAGAATCGCGTATTTGCTGTCTAGGTGGTGTTTCTGCATCATACGTAAATAGTCTAGGAGGTTTCGGAGGCCCCTTTGCATATACCGTGTTTCGTTTCGATGGTTGTTGCAATTCCATCCCTGAACGATTATAACGACTTGCTGATATTGGTGTTGCCGTTGAAACATCGCATATATGTTGTCTTGATGATTCTTCTGGAGAGGATACAAGCTGTCTCGGTGGTTTTGGCGGCCCATTTTCACAGAGCATTTGTTGTCTTGGTGTTTTTTGTAAAGGGAGGTCAACGGATTCAAATTGTCTTGTTGCTATTGGTGGCGCCCATGAATCACCGCCTGATATTAGTCTTCCTGATTTTTCTGAAGCAACTACACGCCGTTTGATTGGTTTTGGTGGTACTGATGCCGTGTCGTATACTGGTACCAACTCCGAAGCACACCACATTGGTTGGTTCCATTGTTTGTTCGGTATTTGTGTAGCTTGCTGCTGTTGTGGTTTCTCCTTAAACGGTGTGTGTTGTTCATGTATCCGTGATGTGTCGTGTTGATCCTGGATTTGTGGATTCGGGGGCGTACCCTCGTTTTCTTTATTGTTTGGTAATTTTGTTTTCAAAATTGTATTCTCCTTAGAATTGTTCGTTAAGTTACGCCAAATTAAAATACAACATAATTGCCCCATATCTCTACAATTGGTTCTTTCGTTATATGATGTAATGAAGCATTGGTCTGTCAGAGTTAACGCGAGTTAGTATAGCTTCTCCATTCACACAAAAGTCATCGCAAAATGTGTTAGCAAACTGTTATATGTTCTATGTATTCTTGCTTGCTTTCATCAATTCATTTCTTTTCTAAATTCACTACTTGCCTGTTCAGTGAAGCTGGTAACGCGGCAGTTTACTGTTGGAGTGTTTGTTGTCCTTGTATAGAGGTTGGCTAGGTATAAACTATAGACGTTGTCTCCTAAAGATATCACACAATGTTACAACCGGATGTACAGTACACGAAAATCCTGTCGAAAGTTCAGAGAGAACCTTATTGTCCATGAAATGTAATCAAATCATCAAACAAGTTGTTGGCGTTCATTTTGAGCCAGATTTAGGTAGATATCATAATCTGTTCCTCGTTATTATGACTGAAATTACATCATTATTGTT